AAATATTCTCTTTTAAATCTTGATTTATTTATTATGTTATTTTCAACTTTGCTTCAATAGGTATAACGATAAATCTTAAGTAAGTGGGTTCATTGGCTCAGTTTAGCTTTAACCAGATTTAGTTTTTGTTCTAATTTCTTAATTTGGACTTGAGCCGGTTGCTTATTTTCTTTTTCCCTTAAAGCATAGTGAGGGCTCTAATTTCGGCTTGTAAGTTAGCTTGCTCGATTTCTTTTAAAGTGAGAGAACTGGTTAATCTTTTTTCTGTCTGAAACACATGTTCGTTATAGAGAAATGATAGGCCGACATTGAAAATACTGTATATGCAGATCGCACAAAAAATAATATTTTTGCAGTCACTATTGATCCTAGTTCTAGTACATGTATAGTCGCCGTTGACCTCTATTAAGGATAAAACTCGCGTCGTTCCTAGCTTTGGTCTTGAAAATGGTGGTGTAAAAACGCAATTTCGTAGCAGAGGAAGAAGCATTTCTCACGGTAAACATGAACATGGTGATACAAAGCCATAAAAGGCATAATTTATCAGTTTTATCGCACAAAAATTTCAAAACTGTGATAGTTAAAATTATTGTTTATTTCTTTGTGTTGTGATTAGTTTAGTATTTTCATTGTCGTGTCGCCATTCGCCATTCGCTAAATAGGGATAGTTTATCGTTATGTCAAGATTTCTCACGTTAAACATGAACATAGTGATACAAAGCCATAAAAGGCCTAATTTATCATATCGCACAAAAATTTCAAAACTGTGATAGTTAAAATTATTGTTTATTTCTTTGTGTTGTGATTAGTATTTTCATTGTCTTCATTCACCATTTGCTAAATAAGGATATTTTATGTCGATCATATATTATGATTAAACCGGATATTTTAATAGTGCCATCCCTTGTAAAGTACTTTCCGGTTTATGCACGGATATAGATTTGTATCACTTAAAATTAACAATGACGAGAAAAGAAACTATCGCTATCATCTATGTATTAGAGTTAGAAATAACATTAACAATCATTGACGTTAACGTTAAAATAAACGTTAAATTAAATTTGAATCAAGAGACATGTAATTTTCACAAGTAAAGAATCTCTTCTAATTAAACAAAAGAACTGCATAATTTAATTATATTCTTTATGCCATATTTAAAAGTAACTTAACAATGACGAGAAAAGAAACTCTCATCTATGAATTAGCATTAGAAATAACAATCTCGTCACAACATTTAAATAAACGTTTAATTAAATTTGAATCAAGAAACTCATGTAATTTTTAAAATAACGAATCTCTTCTAATTAAACAAAAGAACTGAATAATTTAATTATATTCTTAACAATTCTTTGTACCGTATTTAAAGTCTTATTATGTGTATGCAGTATACTTAAAAGTTCTTATCATTATGTTCTGGTTTTATCGTTATTGATTTACAAAGTATTAATATAATTATATTCGAAAGAAAATTTATTGTTATTTATATCTGTAGAAATATAAATCTTGACATTTTTCGATGAAGATATTAATTTGAAATGGTGTA